TACACCTAAGGCTTCGGCTACCTCATGGTTGTAAAATTTCGTTGGCCGAATTCTTTTACTACTAATTCTTAGGTAGTTGTCCATGAAATCCGAATTATTAAAGACAATACCTAAGGTGTCCACTTGTGGTGGTTCGACGGTTGATGGAGGTGGAGGGTTTCTAAGCCTAGCGGATGAGGTGTTTCTTGGTTGGTTTCTTCTAGACATGATCAAATTTTTTTTTAGAACACTTCAAGCAAGCACAACACCTAATGAACAAGTATTTGAACACACAAGGCTCTAAGTCTTCCACCTAACCAACACACAACAAGAACAAGCCCGAAAATTGAAAATTACCAACAATGATCTTATCAATTCAAACAATCAAACACCAAAATTGTCAATGTGCACAATTTACCAACAAAAAATCAACAATCCAACACCAAAAGCATCCATACTCACAGAAACCTATCACCAACCAAAATTTCAATGCTCACAATTCACGCAATTTTTTTTTTTTCTTTTATACTACTAAACTAACAACTATCACAATTACTTAACAAAATGTCAACAATTTCAACTATTACTACTCATAAAATCAACCAACAAGTATTTAAACTATAAAGGAAGAGCTTGAGATTGGAAATATTATACCAAGAATGTCGTGGGTGTAGAACCCGCAAATGAACCTTTCTAGTACTCCTTGTTGTTGATTGATGGTCCTTGTTCACCCAATTTGCTTAAAGAATCAAAATTCAAGAAACCCCCAAATCAATTTTGAAAGTTAGGGTTTGAGAAAATTTTGGTACTTTGGGGTTTTGATGGTGAAAAGGGGTAGTAATTTGTGAAGAATGTTGAAAGAGGAGTGAAATTTGTAGTTTAGAGTTGGGATTTAAGTGAAAAATGGAGTTTGAAGGGTGAGAAATAGGAGTAGTATGAAGTATGGAGTATGGAGGAGGAAGGAGTGTTTGAGTGTGAAAGAGGAGTGAGAATTGTGAGTATGGGGGGGGGGTCTTTGCTATTATAATTTTTTTATTTTTTTATTTTTTTTTAGTAGAAACCGTCATATTGCTGTGCAGGTTGAATTTGCACGGACGTGCAGATTCCTGGCAGAATGGTAATCTGTTCTGTCTTCGAGTGCACGGGCGTGCAGTGGTTGGCACGGACGTGCCGATTTTTGGCACGGACGTGCGAAGCTTCAGATTTCACCAGTCAGGTTCTGCCTTTGTCTGCACGGACGTGCGATGTTCTGCACGTCTGTGCATACCTGATGGTGCACGATTTCTTCTTCTTTCCCCTTTTTTTTTATTTTTTATTTATAGATACCTACAATACAAAAAAAAATATATATATATATATATATATATATAAATAAAAGAAAAAGGGGTAATAATAATAAAAATAAAACAAATGAAATAATAATAATTGAGGGGGAGTGAGGAACTCGGGCTGCCTCCCGGTAGCGCTTCTTTAACGTCACTAGCTTGACGACATTGCGGGATCAAATGTTAGTGAGGAATATCGAACTCATCAAGGTGAACAACTTTTGCCTCTTCATTCACAAAACCGTCAAAGTACGCTTTTAGCCTTTGGCCATTTACTTTGAACGGTTCACCATTCTCTTTGGCAATTTCGATTGGACCATATGGGAACACCTTCTTGACGGTAAAAGGTCCACTCCATCTTGATTTTAGCTTACCCGGAAACAACTTCAACCGGGAATTGAATAGTAGGACCTTGTCACCTTCCTTGAACTCTCTTTTGTTGATATGCTTGTCATGCCAAGCCTTGGTCTTTTCCTTGTAGATCCGTGCATTCTCATATGCATCCAATCTTAGCTCTTCCAAGGCATGAAGGTCAAGTAACCTCTTTTCACCGGCACTTTGAAGGTCAAAGTTCAACGTTTTAATAGCCCAATGAGCACGATGCTCAAGTTCTACCGGTAAATGGCATGATTTCCCATATACTAGCTTGTAAGGGGTGGTGCCAATGGGAGTCTTGAATGCGGTGCGGTAGGCCCATAGAGCATCATCTAGCTTCGTAGACCAATCCTTTCTAGACCTATCCACCGTCTTCTCTAAGATCACCTTTATCTCCCGGTTTGAAATTTTGGCTTGACCGCTTGTTTGAGGGTGGTAAGCCAATGACACCTTGTGCCTCACACCGTACTTCTGAAGAAGAGCTTGGAAGGACCGCTTTGCAAAATGCAAACCTCCATCACTAATGACGGCACGTGGCACCCCAAACCTCGGAAAAATGACCTTCTTGAAGAGTTTGACAACCACCTTAGCATCATTAGTAGGAGATGCAACCGAATGAATTTATTCCCAAAAGAGGTTGGGAAAGGCCCCATAAAATCTATACCCCATACATTAAAAATCTCCAACTCAAGAATGTTGTTCAATGGCATTTCACTTCTTCTTGAAATATTGCCGGTTCTTTGACACCGGTCGCAAGCTTTCACTACACCCCACACATCTTTGAACATGGAAGGCCAATAGAAACCACATTGTAAGATCTTTGCCAAAGTTTTGTTAGCACTCATATGTCCTCCACAGGGTGATGAGTGACACATTGTGATAACACTTTCAATTTCATCATCCGGGACACACCTTCTAAAAAGGCCATCAACACCTTGTTTAAAGAGCAAGGGGTCGTCCCAAAAGTATTGGCGAATATCATGAAGAAACTTCCTTTTTTGTTGATAAGTGAGGTCGGGAGGAAGAATAGAGCAAGACAAGTAGTTTGCAATGTCCGCAAACCATGGTGCCGGTACTTGAAGGATAGCAAATAGTCGATCATCCGGAAATGAATCATCAATTGGTAAGTTATCAAGATCACCTACAAAGATAGGCAACCGTGAAAGATGATCGGCCACAACATTTTCGGCACCCTTCTTGTCTCTAATCTCAATATCATAATCTTGCAAGAGCAAGACCCACCGTATCAATCTTGGCTTAGGTTCCTTCTTAGACAAGAGGTACTTCAAGGTCGCATGGTCGGTGAAGACTATGACCTTAGAGCCCAACAAGTAGGACCTAAACTTCTCAATTGCATGAACAATGGCTAGAAACTCCTTTTCCGTGGTTGTGTAATTCCTTTGTGCCTCATCCACGCTAGTATAATAGATAGCATGGAGCTTCTTGTCCTTCCTTTGTCCAAGAACAGACCCAACGGCGAAATTCGAAGCATCACACATAAGCTCAAAAGGAAGTTCCCAATTAGGGGGTTGAATTATAGGAGCCGAAATCAAGGCCTCCTTCAACCTATCAAATGCTAGAAAACAATCATTAGTAAACACAAAAGGGGCATCTTTTACCAACAATTGAGTGAGCGGCTTTGCGATTTTTGAAAAATCCTTTATGAACCGGCGGTAAAAACCCGCATGTCCAAGAAAGCTCCTTATCCCCTTCACATTTGTAGGGGGTGGGAGGCGCTCAATTACTTCAATCTTGGCACGATCTACCTCAATGCCCCTACTAGAAATCACATGACCAAGAACAATTCCCTCCTCTACCATGAAATGACATTTCTCCCAATTCAAAACTAAGTTCACCTCTTGACATCTTTGTAACACTTTAATCAAGTTTGAAAGACAAGTGTCAAAAAGATGAACCAAAAACAGAAAAGTCATCCATGAATACCTCAATTGATGATTCAAGCATGTCGGAAAAAATAGACATCATACACCTTTGAAATGTGGAAGGTGCATTACAAAGCCCAAATGGCATTCTTCGATATGCGAAGGTGCCAAAAGGACATGTGAATGTAGTCTTTTCTTGGTCCTCGGGGTGGATTGGAATTTGAAAGAATCCCGAGTATCCATCCAAGAAGCAATAATGACTATGTGATGCTAGTCTTTCCAATATTTGATCAATGAAGGGGAGTGGGAAGTGGTCTTTCTGGGTGGATTTATTCAATTTTCGATAATCAATGCACATCCTCCACCCGGTGACCGACCTCGTAGAAATGGTCTCACCCTTATCATTTTTTATGATGGTCATGCCTCCCTTTTTAGGCACAACTTGAACTGGGCTAACCCACTTACTATCGGAGATAGGGTAGATTATGCCCGCCTCAAGAAGTTTTAAAACTTCCTTTTTTACCACTTCCTTCATATTGGGATTGAGCCTTCTTTGGTGCTCAATAGAGGAAGCATGATCATCATCAAGTAGAATTTTATGCATGCATATGGTGGGACTTATCCCCTTAATGTCATCAATTTTGTACCCAATGACATCTCTATACTTCCTTAAAACAACTAGGAGTTTCTCAAGAGAGGTGTCATCGAGCTTAGCATTGACAATAACGGGATAATTCTCACTATCATCAAGAAAAGCATATTTAAGTAGAGGGGGAAGGGGTTTAAGTTCAACCTTAGGAGGAGGCGTAGTCCTCTCCTCTTTTTCTACCACGTTAAGCACTTCAAATTTTATCACCTCTTGGGCCAAAGGTTGGTTGAGCAAGAGATCATACCCCTTTGCTTCTTCACCCTCCTCAACTAAGCTTCCCGTTAAGGTAGCTTGTAAAGGATCTCTTTCATACAATCTTCCTCGGAACTCTTCTAAGTCCCTCTCCAATGTGTCAATTCTATGAACTTCATCAATCAATGGCTTTTTTAAAGTTTGTGAGAATGAAAATGAAATTTTCTCATCTCCCACATTCAAAGTCAATCTTCCTTCCTTCATAATAATCACCACTCCCGTGGTGTTCAAAAATGGTCTCCCCAAAATGAAGGGTACTCTTGAATCTTCTTCCATCTCCATTACTACAAAATCACATGGCACAAATACTCTTCCAACTTGAACCGGCACATCTTCAAGAATCCCCAAAGGTAGCCTAACCGTGCGGTCGGCTAGTTGTAAGGACATTCTTGTTGGTTTCAAGTCTCCAACTTTCAAGGTCTTTGAAATAAAATAGGGCATCAAGCTCACACTTGCCCCAAGATCACATAAAGCATCCATAGCTTCCAAATCTCCAATCTTCACCGGTATTGCATAGCTACCGGGGTCACCAAGCTTTTAGGGAAGCTTGTTTTGAATGATTGCACTCACCTCCTTAGGAAGGGATATGGTTGCACTCTCTTCAAGCCTACTCTTGTTGGATAGAAGATCCTTCAAAAATTTTGCATAGGTAGGCATTTGTGACATAGCATTAATAAAGGGGATGTTCACTTGAAGTCCTCTCATGACTTCAAGAAATTTTGAAAACTTCTCATTCAACTTCTTCTCTACAATTGTATGAGGAAACGGAATGGGGGGCTTATATACTCTCATAGGGGGCTTTTCTATTCTTTCTTCATCTCCCCCGTCTTTCTTTGTGGCTCCCTCATCACTCTTTTGCTCTTTTCTCTCAACTTCAACTACTTCATTTTCAAAATCATCCTCACTTCTCACCACAACTCCCTCATCTCTCTTTTGTGGCTCCTCTTCACTCATAACCGGGCCCTCATAACCCCTTCCCGATCTCAAAGTGATAGCCTTAGCTTGCTCCTTTGGGTTCACTACCGTTGAGCTTGGAAAGTGACCACTAGGATTGGAGGATGAACTTCCAACTTGTTGTGCAATTTGAGCCAATTGGCCCTCCATTATCTTATTATGTGCTTGGAGTTGTTGGATGTTTGCATTCATCTCCGCATTGTTCCTTATTTGTTGAGTCATGAAAGTTTCAAGAACGGACTCAAGGCTAGTCTTTTGAGGAGGTGGAGGAGGAGGAGCGGGTTGGTTATATTGTGATCTTTGGTGGTTTTGATCCCTTTGGTTGGGATGGCGGTATGGAGCTTGTTGGTTTTGAGATTGAGGTTGGTTGTAGTGGTTTTGAGGTTGGGTTTGATTTTGGTTGTAGTTATTTTGTGGGGGGCCTTGGTTGTATTGCTTCCATCCCGTGTTTTGTTGGGGCTTCCAACTTTGATTGTGGGATTGGGAGTATTGTTCATTCCTTTGCCCAATTGCCGCCGCTTGCTCTTGATTCGTTGAGTTGCAATAAGAGGACAAGTGATCATTTCCTCCACAAGTCTCACAAGACATGACTTGCGAGGAAGAGCTTGAGGGTGTGAGGGTGGCTTCATCTAGCTTGTGAGCTAGCATATCAAACTTTGATGCAATAAGATCTATTGCACTAAGATCATGAATTTCGCCCTTCTTTGTTTGAGGTTGCCTTCTATCACCTCCATATGCATAATGCTTGGCCACTTCTTCAATCATCTTGTATGCATCGTCCACCGATAGCTTTTTGAGGCTACCACCGGCCCCGGAATCAAGGTTAGCCCTTGAAATAGGAGTAAGACCGTCATAGAAGCTTTGTACAATGATCCATAATGTAAAACCATGGTGGGGGCATTTCCTTGTGTAATCTTTGAAACGCTCCCAAGCTTCACTCAATGTTTCATCAATGTCTTGATTGAAATTGGTGATCTTTCTTCTTAATTCGGCGGTCTTTTCCGGAGGACAATACTTTCCAAGAAAGGCTCTAGTGACTTCGTCCCATGTACTCAATTATCCCTCTTCAACCGTTCTCAACCAGTGTTTTGCTTTATCACGGAGGGAGAATTGAAACATGTGCATACGGATGAACTCTTCCGAAATTTTGTTTTGCTTGATGGTTGTACACAACTCAAGAAAGTTGTCCAAATGAGCAAAAGGACACTCATGAGGACTACCTCCGAATTGATCGCTTTGAATCATACGGATGAGTTGAGGTGAAAGTTCAAAGTTGTTTGCATTTGTGGTGGGAAGACGTATGCCACTTCGAAGTTGGAATGCGTTGGGGTGGTCATAGTCTCTTAAAAATGGTTGAGGAGGATTCTCTCCCATGTTATCTTCTTCGTTAGCTCCAAAAACCTCTTCCGGATCGGAATCCGAATATACAATGGAAAACTCGAGTGTGCCTTGCAAGAGTCTCCTCACGTTTCTCAAAGTCCTATTTAGCTCTGGATCAACGGGAATAAGCGGTGATTGCTTACTCGTTCGTGTCATGCAAAGTCAAACAAAGCTAAGAAAAACGTTAGCAATGACTATCGCAAGTTAAACACACATAAACAAAAATTAAGGTAAGAAAACTACTATACATATACACACATCTAGTCTCATTCAACAATAATAAATTCAATGTGACTTTGCCTCCCCGGCAACGGCGCCAAAATTTGATAGGCCGTCGTCGAGCCTACCAAAGATAATAACTCCTATCTTGGTCTCACTAACAATAGTAAGGGTAAGAAAGGGTCGAACCCAAGAGAGGCGTTAAATCAACCACCAAGTACTACCGTTTAAATAAGCTAAATGAATTCTAAATTGGGTTGGTTTTGAGTAACTTCTTCTAACACAATTCAACTAAGCTAAGAGGAGGTTAACAATATTTAGAGGAATCTAGGGCTTGGGTTATACCACTCAACTTCATCACAAATCACAATTAGCATGCAACAATCAAGGTAAAATGATGGGATAAATTAGGGGAAGTCATCTAAAGCACCCAACTACTCTCTCAAGCTAGAGGGATTACTTGAATCATGAATACAACCTACTCTCGTGGTTACATAGCATAAAACAAGTGTTAAAGCATAATCACGATGACATAAACATTCCCTTGACCGGTAATCCCTATTCTCATGGCATTTCGGGTCAATCAAGCATAAGGGAGCTAACTCAAGTTCATCTCTCGATCCTTCGTTGAGAAAGCTTGGATAAATAGTTCTAGCAATGGCCATATACAAGAACTAAGCAATTAAACCACTTAAGCTCAACTAATTAACATCCCACAACAACCAAATTAGCACATGCAACAAGTAATTAGTGACTACATTGAGGGTTTTGCCCAAACCCTAGAATTTAGACTACTCACAATCCATGGGGGTTAAAGCAATTAAAGATTTCAAGCAATTCATAAACAAATTCAAACTAAGGATTAAGCTAATTAACAATCCAAAACATGCAAGAACTAGCAAATAATTAACAACAAAGTAAAGAGAAGTAGAAAAGATGAGTAAGAAATGGTTACTATGAAGCTTCAAAGTGAGCAACAATGGTGGATTTTGTCTTCCACAATGATTGAATTTGAATGTTTCCAAGCTAATAATTGAGAACTAACTAATGATTTGAGAATTTAATGTTCTAAGACTACAAACTAAGAGGAAAGCTCTAAAAAAAACTGCCTCCATCAAATGAGCTCTAAAGGGGTATTTATATGACCCCCAAATAAAAAGGACGGAGAAAACAAGGAAGGAGTTCGACTGCAGGTCTGCACAGACGTGCCAGATTCAGCACGGACATGCAAGCATAAGCGCGGTCGTGCCAGATTCGGCACGGACGTGTAGAGGGGGCAGAATTGAGGCAGAACGTACTGCTAAGAATCGAGCAGCTCCGCACGGACGTGCAGATATTGGCACGGACGTGCAGCTACATCTGCACGGACGTGCTTAATTTGGCACGTCCGTGCAGGCCTTGGCAGAATGTTCTAAGTTTCTGGAGCACTCCTGCACGAACGTGCAAGGTCTGGCACGGCCGTGCAGCCTCTTCTGCACGGACGTGCCAGATTAAGCACGGTCGTGAAGGCCTTGGCAGCTTCCTGAAACTTTCTGGAACCTCCTGCACGGACGTGCAAGGTCTGGCACGGCCGTGCAGGGTCTTCTAAGCCCTTTTTTTCATCTTTTCTTCTATATTGCTCCTTTCCTTGGCTTCTTTCAACCATCTTCTTGCTTCTAACCTCGGCTTTGTATCCATGGGCTCCATTTGGTCGTTCTTTTGAACCTAGAATCTCAAAAAAAAACACCAACAACCCGTGAAGCATAGGATACACAAAAATTGCATAATAATAGAGTAAAAATGAACCAAAACGCAATTTTTATCAAGTAAACTAGGTTCAAAACACCCAAAAAGCATATCAAATAGCAAGTTATCAAACACAGGTTTTTATTTTTACAAGGGAATCAACATGGTTATTTTTAAACTACTGTTGGGCCCTACTATTTACGAATTTCCTAACCGTCTGTAATGCTTTAGTGCTAAAGGCGGTTGGGATTTTGCCAGGATTTGCACCTGTCGCATGTACCACTTTGGATTGTATGTCGGCTATATCCTAGATATCATGGATCTTTCAAACGGTTGTTCACTTTTAATGACTTAGTTAATGCCGTTTGAGTTATGATCGCCAGAACAATGTACCACCCGGAAGGGAGAGGTTCTCTTCGGCGAATTCACCCGAATGGGTGTCGTCGGATGACTGCTCTTTTTTTAACAGTGGTTTTTTATAAAATTCTTCCGTCTGTGTTTTTGCACTAGACGGGTGCGAATATAATAAAGTGAAAGGAAATAATGCATTTCTCATTTCCCAACTATTTACAATAAATACAAATTCCTTAGAAGTAGTACTTTTTCAAGTTATCTACGTTCCAGGTGCGAGGTAGCTGCCTTCCGTCTGGGGTTTCCAGGCGGTAGGCGCCATTTCTAATTTCTTCAAAAATCCGATAGGGCCCTTCCCAATTGGGGGTTAACTTCCCTTGCTCGTTTGCCCTACCGGTTGCTTCAAGCTTTCGTAGCACGAAGTCTCCTACTTTCAGGGGCCGTTTGTGCACCCTTTTGTTGTAGGCCCTCGTCATTCTTAGACGGTATATTTCATGACGTAAGGCGGCATCGCCCCTTTTTTCAGGGAGAGAATCCAAAGCCAGACGCATGGCCTCCCAATTTGCTTCTTCGTCATAGAGCGTGATTCGAAGTGTTGGTTCATATAATTCAGTGGGAAGGACAGCCTCTGTGTCATATGCCATGAGAAATGGGGTTTCACCGGTTGCCCCTTTTTGAGTAGTTCTTATGGACCAAAGGACTTGTGTCAACTCTTCTGCCCAAAGACCGCCTGCTTTTTCAATCTTTTTCTTTATTCCGCCTGAGATAAGCTTGTGAAAAGCCTCAACCTGACCGTTTGCTTGAGGACGTCCTACGGATGCAAAATAATGTGAAACTCCTTGATCTTGCAGCCAAGTTTTGAGGATAGGCGTTTCAAATTGTGGACCATTATCAAAGACCATAGACATAGGAACACCAAAACGGGTGATGACGTTCTTCCAAATGAAGGAGATGACATCCTTAGTTTTAAAGCCCTTTACTGCCTCTGCCTCAACCCATTTTGTGAAGTAATCAACAGCCACCAGAATGTATCTACGGCCTCTTGGGGCAGGCGTATATGGTCCCAAAATGTCCATGCCCCTTGGCAAACAGGATAGGGCTGTAGATAGTCGTTAGATCAGTAGCCGGCTGATGGATAAGCCGGCCAAACCTCTGGCACTTGTCACATCTCTTTACCAGGTCTAGGGAGTCTGCCTCAAGAGTGGGCCAAAAATATCCCTGTTGCCTGGCCCGTCTTGCTAGAGTTCGGCCGCCTATGTGTGATCCACAGTAGCCGGCATGTAGATCTTCTAGCACTTCTTTTCCCCTTTCTGGGGTTACACACTTAAATAACGGCTACAGGTAACCCTTTCGGAAGAGTTCACCTTTATGCATGACGAAAATTATTGCCCGTTTCTTTAAAGCAGCCGCTTCTAAAGAGACACCCGGCAAGGTGCCGTCTACCAGATAGGCCCATATGGGGTCTATCCAAGTAGAGCTTCGATCAAGAACTCCAATAGGATCATGTTCAATGCTTCTTTTTTCCATGACCTCCCAGAAGACTGACTTAGGCGTATTACAAGTGGCGGATGATGCCAATTTTGATAGTGCATCCGCCTGATTGTTCTCGAACCTTGGCACTTGATTTAGATTGAATTCATCAAGTGTACCGGCTTCTTCTCTGACCGCCTGAAGGTATTTAATCATTACTGGATGGGTGGCTTCGTAAACACCATGGTACTGGCTAACAATCAGTTGAGAATTAGAACAGGCGTCAACCTTTCTTGCCCCGGCTGCCTTGCACATGCGGATACCGCCTAACAGGGCCTCGTATTCTGCTTCGTTATTTGAAGCCTGGAATTTGAACCGTAGAGCATACTCGTATATATCCCCTTCCAGGGAATGACAAATTACGCCTGCCCCACAGCCATTCACGATAGAGCTCCCGTCTACATATACGTTCCAAACCTGATCAGTGTTGTCCGGCTGGACTAGCCTAGTTATTTCGACAATGAAATCGGCAAACGCCTGGCCTTTCACTTCCCGTCTAGGTTCCAAAGTTATTTCCAGAATTTGAATCTCCACAGCCCATTTAATCATTCTTCCGGATG